TTCCTTTCGCTTTTAACACCGTCCTTTCTTCTTCCATTGGTGAGCCCAATTACAGAGCCATGATGAGACTATAAATTCTTAATATTGCTCCCCTACCAATTTGTACTTGTGCAGCATTTTCTTAGGTAGGACCACATTATGGAAGCAATAATGTTTTCACCAGCGCAAGCACAAATGGATCATGTCTTATATATTCTGGCTGAGCTGGCGAAGTCTCAAGAAATTAATTCAGTCCATGAGCAACTCCTCACAACCTACTAATATAAAAGCCTGCATCATAAAAATGCAATAGATAGAGACCAGCTTAGCTTGATTACTTCTTTTTACTACCTTAAATTCCAATAGCTGAAGCTGGAAAGAACTGGACTCGTAAAATGGCAAATAAGAAATGTTTACTGGATATTGCATTAAAGACAGGATGTACCATAAAACACGGGCGGAATTAGTTCTTGAGCTAGTTAACCTTTCCCTGTTTAAGATAACTGCTCATACAATTCTGGATGCAAGGTGCCAGAGAACAAAAAGTCTATTGTCTATTATTTAAGAGAGTTGTGCTGTCACAGGAATCTCATCTACTGTCCCTACCTCCCCCTCCAAGCTGTCTAGCCCCGAAAGTGGGTAAGCACAGGTCAGACAAGGGATATGTAAACCACAATGCATTGCTTTGTCCAGCCATACTATATATAAAATGCTACTATCAGGTCACTCCCCCTTCTCTGAAATGCAAGTACCGCTCAATCAGATGAGATAGCTAGCTGTGCTCAACACTGCCGGGCTGCTTGTTCCTAAGTCCATCATCCTGGTTTCTCGCTCTGCTCTAAATTTTAGTTTGTATTTCTGCACCTGCAATGAAATTCCTCCATAGCTCATCAAAGAAATATATCTGCAAACATGTGACGCAGAGTGGTTAGAAGCGATGAAACTGAGCATATGAACAGCCTGGTCTTGGTGCAGGGCTAAGGTATCTCAGGACAGCCCAGAACAATGTTAGGTTGGTGATTTACTGAGACTGTAAAGAAACATAAAACATAGCTTTTCTCCCTGGACCCCTTAACTTGCTGCTGACCATAAACGTGGCTCAGACGGAGTCTGGAGGCCAGATAATAAAATCTCATTAAGGATATCCATTTTTTGCTCCTGCCAAGTGTGTTTAGAGAAAGAGAGCAAGCGACAGAGCACATTCTCTGGATCTCTCTTTCACCAGACAGAACAGCATTTTGGTGCATTTCTTGCACATTTCAAGTGCAAGACCTCCTCATTAGGAGGTACTAGATACTCACAAGTTTCAACCTGGTCTTTAAAAACGAGAAGCTGTATTAAGTCCTTTCCAATTACGTCCCAAATACGTGTTTTCTAGAAGCTGGAATTTGCATTAGCTAAGATTGTTCGTCTTTGCCAAACCAGTGCTGGCAATTGCCAAACTGCTTGTGGATGTTTGTGTGTATGAAACTCTTTCAATCCCTATTCTCAAGCACCTGCTAATTCAGCTGTGAGCTCATTTATCTTTGCAGTGCAACTACCAGTATTCAGGGACCCAGACACGCTGCTGACTACTGCCCCTGAACAGAAGTCATGAGATAACACAGTGAAGCGCAGATTGCACTAAAAAGGAGCGAGATCGTGGCTTTAACAAAAAGCAGCTTCAGTCCCCAGTACCTTCTGACTACATGTATTACACTGACACCAAGTTCACGCACACGCCATTCCCTTTGTGTTCAGCCTTAGGAAAGCAGTTAGTAAAAGAGCCTAGAAAGGAGTTGCCAATGTGATGGACAGATTCTGCTGTCCTTAATTACGCTATTTTAGTGCTGCCTTTATTTATGCTGTTTACCTTACAAGCGAAGAGCACACTGAAGTGAAGGTAAGATTAAGACAGAAGGTAAGAATTAGCTTAACAAATGCCAGGAATGGGAAATGGAAGAGGAAAGGTAAGAATATGTATCAGCCTTAGCCCACCTGGTTACGGCTGCACGGCCATAGAAACAGACATACAAACAAGACGACTTACTAATACAAACTTTCAACAGTTTCTGCAGTTAGCATCATCTCATCGTTATCAGGTGACTAGTTACTCCCAGCATCCCAGCAGCTCTGGAAGGAGGACTTCAAAAGGACGTCACAGTGGAACGGAGTTTGGGGGAAGGATGAAACTCGTCTGTGAGTTTCTCCTTGAGCCGGGTTCCCAAGTACGCTTGCAATAGGGTAAATGTCACCTGTGTTTCTCAGCTCAGTTAACTGCATATTCCCCGTAACAATTTTGTATCAGTCCCACTTATTTATTTTTAGTTTATTGCATTAGAAGCAAGGATATTAATCTTGCTCTGTGCAAGAGATCTTACATTTCCTTCTAGGACATTTGAAAGTATTGCTTTAGTTTAATAACACATTTTTATTCTCAGCATGTTGCTTCCTCTCTGCCAATATTTCAGCTTCATCACTAATTCATGAACCATCACTCTGGTGAGAATCAGCCCTAGACTGAGAAAAAGAATTCCTACATTTATTTGTCTCTCGGTTTATAAAAGGTACTTTTCTCTTTAATAGGAGGGTTTTTTATTCTGAAAAATGATCATAAATTAGATTTACATTTGTACAGCCAATAGAGAATTTGGTGCATATATTATAGACCTAAACTAGGTAAAAGGGTATTATATCAAAGGGTGGTTAGTCTTCTTTTACATGCAGGAAAGTCAGTAGTGGGTTTTTCAAAGCACCACGGAGAGTACCCAGCATCCACTGACATCTTGAAATATCTTCAGAAAGTCTGGCTCTCCACAAAAAGAGGTCAGAACAAACTATACCCAAAAACCCCTTCTATGACAGGAAATGTAATGAGCAAAGTAAGGGTAGATAAAGCTATGATCACAATGCAAAGGGAGTTATTTGGGGTGGAGCCATCTCTTGTTTCATGCACGTATTGCCAGGAGATAGCTGGGGTACTGCCACTATAAAATTAAGCGTAATTATCCCTGGACAACAATATCTTTCTTAGGTAGAATCCAATATAATTCCTTCTGCTCTCTAATTCTGCAATAGCTGTTTGACAGAAGTGGTTTCCTAATGCAGGCTCTCCTGTTAATTTTATGCTTTCTGATAAGGTACGAGAGCAATCCTTCCCAGAGCGCAGTTCACCGTCACCATTCTTTCTCCTTCGCAAGCATTCAACCCGAGAGATCTCAGGGCCCGTTCTGATCTTAAAACTGCAAATTATTTCTTAAAGAGAATTCCCCTTCTGAGGGGAAGGCATTAAAAAACCAATACGCCCAACACTCCCAAGTATGGGACTATGAGCAGACAATAAAACAGAAGAGAAAAATCCCTTCTCCTATACTTAACATTCAAAGAGAAGGTTAATTCCAGCGTAACCCCACAAACTAAGGCATATGGCGATACGACAGCAAGTTAATTGAAAGATCTTTTAAATACCAAACTGCAAAAAAATAAGACTACAGTTTAAAATCTGCTTCTCTTGAGAGGGTAAAATACCACTACTAAGTTTAATTCGCATTCCCCTGCCAGGGTTATTAGTGCCTTTTCTGTTACTTTTAGACAAGTTCTGCATGGGAGGAGAATTACACAAAATTATATGGGAATTTTCTATATTCAGAGTTTATGTCTGCTCCAACCAACAGTAGTGGAAAGAAGATCAAGTATCCACTAACTATAAGGCATCAAGGTGTTGCTAAAAGTGTATCTACTGTGTCACATACCTAAGAAAGATTCTCCCCACGACAGGAGTATTTAAGGGGATCTTCATGGAAACACTAGATAAATGAAAGAAAGTCATGAGAAGAAACACAGCTTGTGTAAGATGACTTCAGAGGGACTTCGAGCTCATGAGATATTTATAAAGTTTATACTGCAAAACTGAGCAGACTAAGGAGAAATTTGTGACAGGTCTTCCTGTGTTATTGCAGTACATTGCCAATTTTATGGGCAAGAGCATGAAGATGACTATAATTCACCTGTTACAGGCAAAACGTTTGAGGCTCAGAGTTTGAGAAAGCTTTAGATGCTTCACTACCTACCACAGCAGCAGATCTAATTATCGTGTCACAAAACATGGTAAACAATGTGCTGCTTACAGCAAGGTGGTGATGAAGAGTGGGAGAAACTGGCACAAGCAAGAGGAAGAAATAATTTGGATGGAAAAATGAATAACTGCGGAGCTCCCACACAAAACCACCCCAGATGTTCCGGGGAATTTCACATCTTTTCATTATGGAAACGACCAACCAAGGGGAGGAGGCTCATTCCCTACAGCACCAGGAGCAGCTGTGGTTGTCCTGGCTGCATGACACCAAAGAGATGGAGACAGAGCTATGCAAGGTTGGTTTGTTTGTTTTGGACTGATCTGTTCTCTTTTTGAGTTGTGGCACACATTTTACCCAACCTTCTAATAGAGTACAGGTTTAACAGATTCCAGGATGATACTGAGTGCCTTTAACAAAGACCACAGACTGTTCCTAGGAGGAGGTGGAAAAGTGGGAATAAACAAGGAGGCTCCTGCTACTAGGGAATAATATTACTCCATAGACATCTGAACAATTGTGGTTCAATCACAGCTATAATAATGACCATATAGGAGTGACCTAAAAAACACAACAAATCCAAAACGACAATTAAATTGGTAGCACACCAAAACAATGTGATGTCAGTAGTACAGCCGGATGTTTCAACCTGGGGAATATTTACAAGATCAGGCTCTTCCATTTTGACTGCGATGGCATATGAAAAGCGTATGTAAGCTGACTAGAGATTAACAGTTCCATGCAAGAGAGCACAGTATCCCAAGACTCTACAATAAAAGCAATGCCACAACATCGAAGAGAGAACATCAATGGACCTTGGAATACGCTGAAAGTTGGGATAGTTTACACAATTGCATTGTGTTCTGCAACATCTATGGGAGGACCATGTATTCCCAAGTCACTGATTTCAGCGCAAGTGTGTACATATCATTCTGCCCCAGCACCCAGATTATTTAGTAAGACTGTTACCTTGTTCACACCATCTGCCATCGCTTGCAGTGTTAGCTCTCTAGGTCCATCCACAGTCTTTCCATTATCAGTTGGTCCCCAGCTGGCACTATATATATCTATGACCTGAGGCATATGACTAATAGAGGAAGCCTCAATGATGTCTGTCATAAATGGCTGGTCGAGCATTCGAATACCTGTAGATTTAATCACCATAAACATGAATTATGCATTACCCAGCACAAGATGAAATCTCAGCACCTGGAGAAGTCCCCCAGTTACAGGTATTTTAATTCACTGGCAGTTTCACCCACTCAGTAATTCTGCCCTCACCATTCACATTTCACCAGGGCGTGCTTACCCAGCAGGATGGCAGCACTTAAACACCCAGCCACAGCGATGCAGCGTGGCCCAGAAAGAGAATGCACTTTATTATTAGCTTTCTAATTACATAATATTTTCCATCTATTTGAAAACACTTTTAAAACAGTAGTATTCAGCCATCTCAGCATTTCATAGCATTTAAATAATATTAATAATGTTTAAAATAGTATTTTGTAACAACTAGGGAAAAGGATTAAGCCCGCCCCCCCCCATCTCTAATTTATACTCAGTGATGTGTTGACACTTCATTAGTTTTTCAAGTAATTTTTCTGTTTATTTTGGTTTTTCTCCAGAAGGTAATCAGAGAGGGGAAACACACTACACAAAAATTTCCTGGAAAAATATCATCGTGTCAACATGCAGACGCAATAGCAAAATATGGCCAGTATTTGGAGAAAGAAGCAAACTAAGACCTGCTTCCTTTAACCCACACTGCAGTAGAAATCAAGTTAGAGTTTAAACGATACAATCCTAGGACATGCCAACTTCATAAAACCTCAAGGTGTTGGCACTATGCGAGCCAGAGAGAGTGACAAAGATAGCAGCGCAAGCCCTCACATCCATCATGCCCCCCCCCACAGGACAGTTTCACTGATAGCCAACCTCCCAGTGGCCTTTGGATGAGACCTGAGTAACCAGGGACACATTCCAACTCTCATTTGCAGGCTTGAGTTGAAGTTCAGTTTTCCCAACAGTTTTAGGACACAGATGGGACAGAAATCAGTACCACAGAGCCAAACAGTGTGAATGCCAGCAAGGACCCCAATTTAGAAGCCAGTGCTTTTACGATATTCAACACAAAATCCATACGCCAAATGTGAGGCTGGAAAAAGCGGTATAAACTTCAAATAGAAACCAGACCCAAGCTGGATATTCCTCATCTGCTAATTCAAGCTAGAAATTATGAAGTCAAACTCAATGAGTGAGAAATCCCTTCACATGCTTGTAAAATGCAGATCTGCACGGAAACCACAGAATTAATTATTGACCCCGGGGAGGTGGGGGAACAACAGGAGGAGCCAAGCCATCTGGTTTGACTTTAGGGCAAAAAAGAGGTACAGAAGCAAAACACACGGTGCCCCAGAACCTTGGCTACAAACTTCCAATTCCATCTCCAAACATGGACCTTGAATCACATCAGTAGCAGACTCTCAGCTCTAATGAGTTTCCAAATTCCCACTGACCACACGGTGGTGCTACAGGTGCATGCTGTCCCCAGGCAGGAAAGGGTGGCTTTTCCAAAAATTGGTGGGATTTTGCGATGAAGTGGACAAGTATGGAAGGCTATTTGTAGGCTGTTGGTCATCAGAAAAGGCCTTCACCTCTTGATTTTTAAGGAACCAGCTTGAAGTTGTAGAGTTATGCTAATAATACAGATGAGGTCCAGCCAAAATCCCATGCCTCAATTCACATTCCTCTAAAAGTAGCTATTGCCAGAATGCAAATTTTGTGAAATGTCCCATCCCTGCAGGGGACGTTAGCATTACTGAAGAAAGGGGACAAGCACTAGACCTGCCTGGCCAGTTACTAACTCTCAGTGATATTTCTTGGGGTAACAGCTTAGCAAACATTGCTTGGTGCCCTTCTACTGCGGAGATTCACCTTTTGATTGTGTAGGTGACAGGTGAAATGTAGTCTTCCCCAGATTCTTCTGACTCCGCGGTGAAACAGGGACTGGCCAAGCAGAGCAGAGCTGCCCATGCACACACAGAGTGAACCATTCCCAGGAAGCAATGGGTGCATCCACACTGGTGTTTTCATGCGGATTGCGGAATGAAAGTGAAATTCATAAGCATCTGCCTCTGCTTGCTGTGGCTCGGTTCTCATCATGGAACAGTCTTAGAGCGGGAAAACTGGATTTCTTCAGATCAAACTAAACCGACACATGCTGTCCAAGAGCCTAACTCACTCCAATCACTGTGTTCAGTCTATCAGTGCAGACGAGGTAGTTAGAAGCAAAAATACCCAACATACCCGAGGTGTGAATGCTGGGTGCTAGGCACCACCCATTTCGTTCTGTGCATCTGCTCCTACCATTCTGCATCGTTTGTAAAATAGAGGAAATCAATGACCGCAGAGATTTACAGCACTGCAGGCCTGGCCCTGTGAAAGCCTAAGGAATAAGAGCAGCACGGGATTTGCCTTTTCAAATAGTTTCTAAGTATACCTCCTGCAAAATGAGATTTGTCACAAATGATTCTGCAACTACGCGGGGAAGCAGCACTGAAAATCAGTATACAAACAGGAGTTGGCGCAAGAAGGAGCAGAGCTGTTCCTTTGCAATGTTATTAAAGAGGCTATATAAGGCCCTCAATTGAAAAGGCAAAGCCATGAAGAAATTCCTCTCTCCCCAGCTACTGTGAAAAGTAATAAACACATGGCCTGGTGCCAACCTGCAGTCCTGTCCTGGGCAATGCTCCCTGTCTCTGCAGAAGTTCTGCCTGAGGCACAGTGGCGTAAGGACCATTTACACCTTGAATTGCTACCGTACCTGCCACCTTGGAGTTGTATGCAACTCCGACGCCGCAGATGTTGTTGTTGGCAGCAGCAGACACCTCTCCCGCGCACCTTGTCCCATGGCTGCAAAAGGGAAGACAGAGACACCACGTGAACCCCAGCCAATGCATGTGCTGAATCGAGCTGGATCAGCGCAATCTTGTTTTTGCCTCACAGTCAGCTCCCAGCACTTCAGAGGAAAACCGTTCCATGGCAAACTGTTCAGTGCTGTATTTGGATCCTCGGACGAGCTCATTCCTTCCTGAAGCAGGAGATAATAAATTTCCCCTCTGCAGTATGAGCGATGCTTGCTCTGAGGTTAACATGCATACTTACGCTTCATTTAGCTGTAAAGTTATTCAGACCTTTTCTTTTTAACTCTGTCAAACAGGTTCTGCCTTGTTACCAACCATTAGTCAGTAGAAACAGTCCCTTGATAGAACAGTGTAAAAATAAGATCAATACTAATTCCTTTACTTTTGTGACTTGACAGTGTGATACCTGTTATTTTGAACCCCACAGAACAAAGTCTGATTGCCTTTTTGCTATTCAAACATGTATCAGGAGGTATCCCTGCCTGCAAAAAAAAATGCTATGGAAAGAGGTGGGCACAGTATCGAGCTGGAAAGCAGAAGGGAGTCACAAGGGTCACTGCACTCCTCAGCAGCAGAGCTGTGGCCTGGCTGGCTAGACCCAAGGCATGTGCATCCCTCTCCTCCAGTGCCTAATTCCCAGGAGAGCTGACAAGGTGCTCCAGCTGTCAGCTCACAGAGCTACTGCTTTCTGCTCAAGTGGGTAATGTCTCTGCTCTGACACGGAGGTCCAGGTTTGGGCTGACACATGGCATTTCAAGAACACTTGGCGTCTCTGAAGTGCTTTACAGAGACCCTTTAACTGGCAGTGTCTCTGAGGCAGTCCTGCAGGAAGGCAGATTGCATTTTCCTTTCTCCTAATTCATCATAGAAATTAAACCACAGAGAAGATAAATATAGACAATATAATATAGTTTAAAAAAACCAGCACAGCAGCAGAGAAACTAGTAAAACCTGTGCTGCTGTCAGGTTTTTTTAAGTTTAAGATGTTGAATCAATATGAATCCATCCTACTGCTCACATCAATCCACTCTGTGCATTAAAACTGGCATTGCTCCTATAGCATGCTAAGGATTCATGCAATTAGCAGTTCTGTGTTATAAAGGCTATACAGAGTACCAGACAAACCATCCTGGGAGGAAGCAGAATTGTTTTATCATCTTTTTTCTCTCTCTCTCTCCCTTTAAGCATCTCTGGCAAAGGTGAGTGTAACATTAATAAAGGGGTGAGAAACAACACATTCTTTTTCCTGCTGTACTTGGAAGAATATATTCTTAAAGGCAGCTTCACGAAAGAAAATGACTGGCCTTGAATGTACATAGTGTCTTGATCATGAAAGGGTAAAGATGTCACGTGAGTTCCTTTTACAAAGGGGGCAGAGAGGAGAGCGATACAGATTTCTTATTCAGCTGCCGGAGAAATTTCTTTCAACAATCAAGCAGGTTTTCCCTCATGTCCTTGTTCAAGGAACTGTGAAAAAAATATACTGTTGCTAGGCATTCATTATCTAGTCACCTGTGGGCTAGCTACAAGCCATAGAGCAGAATAAATGGCTTTGTAAAAAAATTGTCTTGACTGATGCTGGGGTGCAAAAAATCGGTGACATTGCCAGGTGAGCTCTTTCTTTCACAGAGGGAAAAACTGTATTAGGACCTTCCTGGTGAAAAGATTTTATCAGAAGGTCCTCTCCCCCACCTCGCTTTCCCAGCACACTGGCCCACATGATGGAGACTGTAAGCAGACCTGTTCCAGCAGCTCAGGGTTTAGATACTGTGCTGCTGACTAGAGGAAAAAAAAAAAAAAATCACATGTGAGTTAGTGGAAACGCATTTGGTTGAATTATTAATGGCAAATAGCAGACTTTTCTAATTTAGCCCTATTTGCTGTTCATGTATCATTGATAAACCCACTTTGATTTCTATGAAGTGACCCATGTCATAGGCACAAATCACAGCTTTTCTCTCCAATGTTCACCTCTTCACTATTATTTCAATGTTTAAAACAAGGGGATAGAAAACAATTAAGAATATTTTCACCTATGACCCAGTTACTTCAAAGGTAAACCATATAGTAGCATGCAGAGCAAGTTTTCCATAAACATTATATAAATGCAACCATTTTACATGAACATTCGTGAAAACCTAACGTGAGAGAGAGGCTGATTCAATTGAAAGTCAGTTTTGCCTTCAGCTGACTTAAATAACGTATCTGTACTAGTTATGAAAATTTCACTCTGCTTTGTCTTTTAAAACTATTTCTATTTCTAAAACCCACTGCCAATGCTATTGTGCATGCCCTTTTATCAACACATTTTTCAAAAGAGTCAGAGGTGGCACAGATTTCACTGGGGTTCCTTTTCGTCTGCTTTGTAATGCTTCTGCAGACAGCAAAGGACAGGATTCATCCTTCCTCACTTCAGCTGTCCGCCGGGGGAGGGCTATGCAGAGCTGCAGTCTCAATAGCTGGGACGATCTGCCTATGTTGACCACTTTAGTTGCTTTTGCAGTTAAATATGCAAAGCTCAGAGGGACACTTTTGTGGGGCAAATGCCATCCCCTTTTCACTCACATGACATTGTCAGTTTCTGAGCATTTGAGTGTTTGCACAAGGGAAAGCGCTCCCCTACTTTGGGGAACGTGCCTCTCTGCCTGCATCCACACACGCCAAGAACCAGCAGTAGTGCTGTGGCTCCTCCCTGACACTTGTGTTGTAACACTGCAGGTAAAAAGAGCTGCTAAATCTGTTTATACAAATTTTCAATTATTATATTGTTTCCACTGTATTGATTGAAAAATGAGGAGGAAGGGAGCAGGTGTTTTTATCCTGTTAATGAGCGCTGTCTGGAAGCCAAGGGGAGTTCTTTCCTTGACTCAATGGTATTTTGTTTGGACCCATAATAAGTAAAGAACATTTTTACCCCTAAAGAATATGGGTTTCCAAGATAGTGAATAATTTTTTCCCAGCTAACTCTTATCTGGGTGAGAGAACATACAGAATACAAAGGCTACAGGAATGGAAATAATTATTGGTTATTTATATCATGACAGAAATTCGTAATCTCAGTGCTCTGAGATGGGGAGCCCTGAATCGTGCCTTCTGCATGCTCACAGCAAGAAATCAGAGGGCTGTACAGAAAGGCCAAGCCATCTCTGACTCCTGTTGGTACCTCTGCACTGCACAACGTGGTACATGCCAAGGTACTGAATGTGGTTCAGGAGCAGTGGGTGTTAAAAATCCCAGGCAGTTCCAAAGTGGTTCCTAAAAACCACTGAGTGCTGTGGAGCTGCCTCTTGGCTTTTGGGAACAGGGCTTGGTTCAGGTTCTTCCACTGCTCCCACGGCTCCTCAGGCTCAAACACAGCCCTGCCCCATGTGGCACCCAGTGTCCCCTATCCAGCTTGGTCCCCTGTGGTGTCTGAACACAGCCAAGCAGTCAGTACAGCAAGCACAGGAATAAATCCCTTGGCTGCCCAATCATCTATGTGCCTCTCCCTGCAACAGCAGCTGAACTGCCCGACTGCAATTCCCTGCCCGAGGCACCACACTGTCCCCTTCCAAAACCCACTCTGCTTGGTTTCGTAGGCCAGTGGCTGTTAGATGGAAAGGCTAAAGTGCTTCCAGCAGCCTTAAAAAGAACAAAGTGGAAGGGGAATCTGTGCTTACAAGCAGAGCAGCTGCAATTAATGAAATACTCCGTGCAAAAACCTCTCCCTTTTTTTCTTAAAGTCTGATGACACTTTGCACATGCAGCTGGCAGCTCACAAAAGCCCCTTGGTTCATCTCCGTAAAAAACAGTCCTCTGCTTCTTGTTCCACAAATCACTTGAATCGCTCACATAGAAATGTATTCTTTATGGAAAAAGGGATATTACGCTACCCTATTTTGAGTCTGATCCTCCTGCATGCATAAAATTCAATGGGAGATACATCACTGACTGCAAACTGAGCAAAATGGAGCCTTTATTGCAGGTTTCTCCGAATGGCTTTTCTGTGTAACTACTCTCTATTCAGACACACCTTTGCAGCTACACATATGGACAGACAGACTGCCATAGGCAGACAGTTGTAACCTACCAGTAATAATAATTCAGGAGTCGGAAGTTATGACAATAGCTTATATATGAGCACATCAGCTTGATTAACAGTATAGCCAAGAAATACGCAGAGAAAAGCATAGTCACGACTACTCCTGAACAGCTGGATATGGTGTGTTGGTTTGCATCTTAGCCTGGTGAAAACATGAAATCTTGCATCTTAAAGCCTTCTTGAACTGTGCAGGCAGGAAAGGGATGCTTTACTGAATGCATTGCTCCTGCGATTCACCTTGCAAGAGAGAAAATTCTCTGTCTCACCAAAGAAACGTCAAGGTTCATGACAAAGAATGCTGTACTTTCTAGGCATCAAGTTTTTCTGGAAAGAATAATGAAGGAAATCAGCAAAGCAACTTCTGCATTGCTCTTCTCCTCCTGACTTGTTGACTTGAGCTCCCCACCCCTCAAGAAAAGAAACAGAAGAAAGTGTTGCAGTTCTCTGAAAACCTGAATCATGTTGTTCTCAATAATTACAGATCGGGTCACAGATGACCACGCTGCTCACCCTTGATTCTTCACTTGGGTGCCTGAAGTTAGCCAGAGGCACTTGGGGCAGAGACCATAACCTTTGCCACATTCAGGATGCTCGAGGCTCGTTTTAAGAGACTTCAGGAGGTAACTCTGCCTCCAGGGCCACCTTGCAGAACACGTGAGGACTGCAAACTGTGCCCCACTATAAAATACTTGATAGCAGCACGATCAGTGTTAATGGGGCTTGGCAGAACACAGTTTTATGAAGTTCCACACTGAAAATGACAGAAGCTACCATTACCCACTAAAGCTAAATTTAATTTTCCTCTGTGCTGCTCCACGGCTAAGTGATATCTTTCTCCTACAAAGATCCTTTGCATAAATAAAGTGAGAAAGGCAGCAGACCTTCACAAATTAGAGCCCTACTCTTTCTCCGACTTCCCATTCACTAATTGGATTCATACTAGTTTAAAAGTGTCAGATGTCCTTTCCCGAAATGAAGGAGAAATCTCATTGGCATCTTGCTTTGGCTGAAAAATGGCAGGACTACAAAGGAGGACATCACAGCTCCTAAATCTGTTTGATCCGTTCCAGGAAGCCTGTGTCTGAGGTGGAAGCACAGCTGCTCCCCATGTTTGTTGTGCCATTCTGACAGAACTAGAATTGATTTCTTTAGAAATAAAAACAAAAACCCCATACAAAACTCAGAGGCCATTCATACACCCACACTACGTTAGAGATGAAAACCACACCAAATAGGCCTGAAATATTTTTTGATAAGCACTACAACTGAGTCCTGAAATCTTTAAAAGTTTTCAAATTCTCAGTGCTGCTGTTATGTCAATGCTGGCAACATCAAATACATTTGCATCTTGAAGACTTCTGGAAATTTCATTGAAAATATCCTGAAACAATTTTTACAAATTTACAGACCCTGGGGAGTATGCTGCAGAGCCAGAGACGCTGGATGCTGAGATCACCAGGTAATAAACATACCTTATGGGTGTGCCTTGGACTCTGCACCCTTGACTATGCTATATCTTGCTGGAAGCAGTTAGCCTGACAGAACGGGCTTTTTCATGGGACAGATGCAGAATCCAGGGCACAGAGTTTTTTTTAAAAACTGTTGACACACATTTCTGTTCCATTCTAACCAAAAATGAGTTTTGGGAAACAAAAAAGGTCACGTTTCCTAAAATCTGAAGCCTTTCTTTTTTGGCTATTCATATTTATACTGTACTTTGAGGACCAGACCTTCTCCTGCTGGAAGCTGGCTAAGTTCAGAACACATTGAAGGAGGAGTGGGTCTTGGGCAATCATGATGTGTTCAGGAGAAGTAACACAACAAGCACAGCTGCACTGCTGATTCCAGGTTTATAAACACAACAGAATATGTTCTCAGCCAGTGTATGTGGACTTTAATTCCTCCAGCAGTTAGAAATATCTCAGAATCAGCCCTGAAATGCTACCCATGTACACTGTCCTTAAATCAGTAAAAGACAGATGATTCAGAACTTATGTAAGATTTAATTTTTTTAAACTGGTCATCCTACACCATGTTGCTTTTCTGCCTTCTTAGTCTATAATCAGACGAAAAGACTTTTTTCCTCCCAAAGCCATTTCCTGTCTCCAGCTTACTCCCTTTAAAATTAGCTAGCAGTGATACTGCCTCAGAAGATGGGAAACCAGTCAAAATTGTATTAAGCATATACAGATTTGAGCTACCATAATGTCCTAGGATAGCTGACAGAAAATGGTACGTGGCTATCACCCATTCAAACAATTTACACATATACTCTTCTGAAGCAACAACTTCATTTATAAACCATAAAATGTTGTTCAGCATTATCTAGAGGCTACCTAAAAAAATGAAGGAAGAAGTAACCTCTAATTTTCAAGCAGTAGTGAGACTGCAGCTTCTGTTTCGGCAACCACAGAATTTAGCAGAAAACAGACATTCCACAAATATCAGCCAACACTTATAATTTCTAAGGCAAACCAAAGTGCGGAGCAGGCTGATCAAAACCCATTTACCTGTTAAACCAGTCATCTGTGTAGCGGGGGTAGGGGTAGGGATCATTACTGCTGAAGTCATAGCTGGCTTTGGCATTCTGCAAAACACAAAGAGGTTCAGTAAATCAGCAGAAAAACAGATGTGCAGGGTGAAGTGGAACCCAAACTGAGGGGGAGCTGAGAGTCGTTAGTAAACTTTGCCCTCTTTGTTCTGTGAGATGCATCTGGACATAAACTGGTCCCTGTTGTGGTATGCATTTCCCACACCAGCAAGCAAAGATGCTTTCTGGGGTGCAAAGCCTTAGTATTTCCAAATAGCGTGTCTAATTGTGAGGTGGTGTGAGAGCTCAGGCTACTACTGAGGGACTGTTCATCAACACTTACAAGAGTATGTAGGTGTTATGCTACTTGGTGTGGCAGGACAAAGGTTAAAGCCTGTTTTCCAAGCAGTGGTGGAAGTGACCAGACACTTGGGTCTTCCATCATAAAACTATTTTTTAAAAACTCATTTGTGGTACTACAACAAACAGTCAATGTTCTGAAAGCATTTCAATGCCTAAAAATGTAAGTTGCTCAAAATTCAAATGTGAAAACTGCATTAGTGGTCAGCACATATGCCTGACAATCCCTTTGCATATTTTCGTGGTCCTTCAGTTGTCTGAACAAATGCGGCTTTCAGGCATTTTTGAAAAATGTCACCCCATGTCTCTGCTTTTCATATAAATCTAAATCATTCCTGATTTTGCCCCATCAGCAGAGTTAAGGACACTCAGCAACTTTTTGATGCTATATCTGAGAAGCAAATGGATGCTATATCTGAGAAACAAAAAAAGTTTCAGAAAGTCAAGTGCCATCTTCTTTCTTCTCTCTTAATGAAAAAATAAATAAAGGGTGACTGAAAATTAAGCTTTTAAAAATATTTAGAAGCTTCCTCTCAAGCGTATGTTCACAGAGTTTATATTTTAATAAACACCATACTCAAGGAACAGAATTATGTTAATTCTTAATTAATGTGTACTTGTATTCTTTTTTCAGATTTGGCTGAGCATGCTATTGAAGATAATTTGAGACTCGTGTATGAATAGCTTTGCTCCTAAAAACATTTCCCTTCAGCAGATTCTCAGCTCCTGGGGTACATGAATAGACAGTCCATTGGTAGCACCAGAGTCTTTGGGTTTTGGATTCAAAACCCCTAACTCTCAAAAACTCTTGTGCCAGAATGAAAAGGGGACAATTGTCCTTGATCCTTGGAGGGTAAAACTAAGTATCTTTCAAGTTACTGTATAGAAATTTTTTTGAGTAATCATTTCAGAAAGCCTGGTGGCTTATATTCAGCACAGACAATAAATATTTTGCAGCATTTGAATGGAGCAGAGATTTGCAGAATGCCTATCATGTGGCTTGATGCTGTTCTCCAGCTCAGACATAGCTGAATCCCTTTGTGAGTATCCTTATTGATCCCTCCGTACCTGTAAACTAAGGCCCTGATTTTCAGCCTGAAGATGCCTTCCAATAATGTCAGCTATAGCCACAGATTCTCAGTGCTTCCAAGTCTCTGTGCCCAGGTATATGTTTAATTCACCTCTTTTAATTACCACAGCTGCTTATACAGCACTTTGAATGGCATAGATTTGTATGAGCTAGGAGTAAACAGAACATGACTTTTCAGCCAGGGAAAGAAGGGGAATTTGACAGTGGTCTACAAATCATGAAGAGCACAGAGAAGGTGGACAGGGAATTACTATTTACTACTTCTCATCTTATAAGAACTAGTGGGAATCCATAGAAATTACCAGAGGGGAGATGTAGAAGCAGCAGCAAACAAGAAGCAGTACTTTTCCACAGAACATGTAATGAGTTACAAAATTCATTGCCCCCCAGCAATACAGAGGTTAAAAGCCTGAATGAAATAAAAAAGTGGTTAGACAAATTAACGGAAGATAAATCTGGAAGGGGTATTGGATGCTGTGCTTCCTCCTTCTCCAACAGTCCATAAAACAGTGAATGCTAGAAGCTGGGAGGCCATAGTCAGGTAGATACCACACAGTCTCTGACTCGGTAACCATACTGCTCCCCAAGCATCCACTACTGGCTGCTGTGGGAGGCAGGCTCTTGAGCTAGAAGACTTTGGGCCTCACCCAGTGCACCTGGAAAAAGCCGTGTGGCACAGACATCCCATCTTGATGCAACAGAGGAAGTTTGGATTCTGCAGCGTCCAGGGGAGCTGTGACAAGGATTTGTGCAAGGGGCCAGGTTTCATCCAATACATGGCAGTAAAAAGAAATGAGCTTGTCAACAGAAGATCCAGTCCTATTCTTTATTAACGAGTGCAGCATCTACTCCTAGCAGGACAAGCTGGAGAACCACATCCTATGGTGAAGTCAAAATAGAAACGATGACTCTCCTTGAGTAATTTAATTAGCAGATAAAACCTACTCTGTCACAGAGTCTAGCTTGGCAACCTTTGGAGAGAAATGCATTTCAATCACAAATTAAAAACTTTCCTACACTACTGCCTTGGACTAGACATGGCCTGGAAACTATGCAGACTGCAAATAACTAAGCTTAGTTCCAGTGATTTCGGATAGTTTCTTTCAGATAGGTATGGTCTAACTCAGGACTAAATGTCATTAGTTCAACACATTGCCAGCTTCTTATTCAGCCAGAACTTCCATTTTCACTCGAAAAATATTGTACAGATGAGAATTTAAACTCGGTCATGGGTCAGCTGTGGTTTTTTTCCCTATCTGGAAGAAATGCAGTCCCTACTTACATAGACCCTAAGCTCAAAGGGGGTCTGATGAGGCTGATTTTTCAGGACATCATCAGACATGCAAGCACCTCATGGTAGCTATCAACCGCTCATAGAATTCCCTTATGCAAAGAGCCATGGATGGAAAAGCCCTTCTAGCTGTGCAGATGTACCACTCGTGTCCAGAGTAGTGATAAGCAAAGAGATTCCAGCATGAACGATTCAGCCACATTACAGCAGCCTGCAGCTCTGCTGCATGTCCCATGTAACCAAATGTCAGCTTACGGAAAGGTTGTGTTAGGCAGGCTATAAACAAAGTTGTGCAGCACTCTTCCACATCCTGTAGCTCTTATTTGCTTGATTTTGGATCACTGCACTCAAATGAAAAAGATATCTAATGTAGCAGGAACCATCCACAAAGTGCAAAATTAAAAAGAATTCTTGGAAAGAAAACAACTGCTGACTGCACAATTTATCTTCATTAGGGTCTTTGAGAAAAGACAGCGAGTTTCAGCTTCATGAAGGAATATTCCGCCCACACTATGGAAGCAGTGGAATGGGTAATGAAACAGCAGTGACAAGTACAAATGGCCTGCTTCAAGTTCCTAATTTAAAGGTTCCTAATTCAAAGATCAAATCCCCAAATATCTAAGCCTCAACCTTTTTAAATTTTTTTTTTTTTAAAAGCATAAACCAGTGACAAATTAAATGTTTCAACACTGGACCAAAAAGGGAACTGCTTCGGAGGATAGCTAAAATATTTCATCTTGTGTTTTGGAAAGTGAATATTAAAATCTGTGGTCTGCCATTCTCCTCCACAGGCTGGACTCCCCAGCAGGCAGCAAGAGGGAATTTATTGCTAACATGGAAATCTAATCAGGATAGGAACCTGGGAGGTGGCAACCAAAAACAGTGCAGATGAGGATCTGAAACAGCACACCGAAATGAAAACATTTTGCTTTTCAATTCAGGTGATTCAGTTTCCAGTTTTAATGCCAAACTAGTCTACTGGCAGCTACTGCTCTTAGACTTGAAGTGTCCAACATTTGGTTTTCAATACCTACGGTAGTTGCCTGGTTTTTTCCCTCTAGAGAGCAACTCAAGCCACCAATCTTAGGCACTGATCACAAATTGCAGTCTAGCCTTAGACTACTCATTAGGCATACAGTGTTAGAACAAGATGAATCCTATGCCTTATGTTCAACCAAAACCAGTTCATTGTTGCAAAGCAATTTGAACCTGATGTTTATCAGTCACCATCTATACACAACTGCTTATAAATAATGTCTATTATATAATAAAAATGCTATTACAGAGAGGAACGGTATTGTATTTTAAGGAGTATCTCTGTTTTTGCTTTCTAGACTCTACCCCAAGTCAGCTGCTAACAGAAGAGTACTGGATCAGATGATGAGATTCTTTCAATCGTTTATTAAGTAAAGGCTTATATACCACGACACAAATAGATTACTTCTGCCTGTGTATAAAATTCTGTTTTCCTTAAAAATAAGCTTAGACTGGCATTTTCCAAAGAATTGCCCTGTACTTTTTAAAATACATGTAGTAAAATCTTCTGTGTAAAACTTTCATTACTTAAAATATGACAATAACAATAAATCAGTTGTCCCATGTGTTGCTCAGATCTGTAATAAAATTATGTACCTTGAATAATGCAGCAAGCCCATAATTTTTTATATGGTTTTACAAACCTCTGAAGAGTAATTCACATAAACTTCTTTTTTCTCCGTAACTCAAAAAATGTGCCTATGCTCACATGCTACTCCAGGAGACAAACAATTAAAGACACATGTCCTGCTGGTCACAGTCTGATTCTATTCATCACATTAAAGCACTGGTAAATTTAGCCCAGAGATCTGTATCTTTTAAAAGAAGAGAAACATTTTTAACACAGGTGGCATCTGGTCTTACCCTCTTCAGGCAACTGCAAATCCTTCGAGATCTAAAGCAGAAAGATACCTTCTGCTTGTTTGATTTCTTTACTGATCCAAAGAGCGAGCAAACCCCTGGGCTCAAATTACAACATGTAACATCTTGGAGAAACTTTACTAAAATAACACCAAACATCATGTGGTGGGAAAATGAAATTCAGTTTTGTACACACAAGCTTAAGAAAATGGAATATGCTCACCAGGAGGCAAAAAAGGAGGCAACGTGGTATTTTGCTTAGGAGGAGTGCTGAAAGGCTTAAAGGTCATTAATGAAAAACAGAGGCACTGTTGCTAAGTCAGTAGTCATACAGTAAACCCTCTCCTCTCTGCCATGGGAAGCATGCTGTTATATTTTGTTTTGGTTTGTGGTTTTTTTTAAATGGAAATGAAAAAAACC